TTAATAAAATACTTGCCTGTTGCCTTTATTTTTTTAATAAATATGTTTTGTTTTATTTTTTTTTTAATTTGTTGGCTATGCTTGTGAACCATTTTTTCCCCCCCCCCCCCCCCCCCCCCCTCTCTTTAGGGAACGTGAGACATTTGGAGCCTTCATAGCAAGTGTTATTTTTTTGGGCCCCATTGCTTTCACAGAAGTTTTTGTTTTCTTTTTATGAAACTCACTTTGCTCTTAAGCTATTATGAGGGCGCTAACATCAGTCCAGTCTCCTCGATGATCTTGATGAAGACCTTCTTTCCGAGCTTGACGATGTTGTTCGTAACAACCAGCTTGCTAGGTTACCGTACGCACGAAGTGGAGCAGCTGAAATACTGCTTCATGAGCAGTACCCCAATCTAGCGGAAGACATACACGAGGAGAGACAGGTGCGCGTGAAGGATATGGTTTTTAGAGCCACCTTTAGGGATGATGAAAGGAGAAGCTCTTCATATAGGACTCGGTACGGCAGTTTCGACGATTTTGCTAGTGTTTCACCAATAACCGATAAAACCGCGCGGCAGAAATCGAAAGTCGCACGTAATGAGCCGTTCAGCCCAGATCTCCGGCCCAAAACTTCCATGGCTGACCTTATGTTCAATATGGAGGGGGATGAGGAATTAAATGATGTTAGCCCCTTGTCTCCGAGCCCTAGGCGTATCAGCGCTAAGGACCATGATGACTTGGATCGTCTGCCGCCATTGTCAACATCTCAGCGTGGTCTCCCAGGAAGTGGTTCATTGGGCGCGCCCGGAATTGTCCCAGCATCTCCGGCTTTAGCATCATCTCCAGCTCTACAGCCACCTGGACTATCAAACGATGTTTCGCCACAACACCCACTGACTGCAAACCCCTGGGGGTCATCAAACTTGCCTATCAGTCGTTTGAACCTGCGAGAAACGCTGGCTGAATCGAAACCGGTACAATCAGCACTTTCAGCTGGCCTGGCCGCGCAAAATCGTGACCCCGGCTCCAAGACCACTCCCCAAAAGCTTTCACAGAAGGAGAGAAAGAAGCAGCTGCTGCAAAAAGCTGAGCAGGCTGCCCGTGAGGAAGCCGAGGCCAAACAACAGTTACAGAAACCCTGGAGTGAAGTTGGCGATAAAAAGGGCGCGCCTTGGAAAAAACAAACGAAAGCAGAACCTGCAATGCCTATGAGCAGCCTGCTTCACCCTGACTCGGCCTTTCTTGCAGGGTCTTCTAGTCCTAAAACATCAGTCTCTTCCCAGACTTCATCAAATAAACCTATACCTAGGCGAGCTGCATCACCCGATACAAGGTTTTCTGGGCAGAAGTCAAGCAATCCATCAAAATTGCCTCCAGCATCCCCACGTCCTGATTCCCAGCCAATGACTCCCCATTCAAAGTCATACATTAAGCGTACGCCCAAATTTGAACAGGAAATTGGCGTTCCCCTCGCAGACATTATTGGCCAACAACAGAGAGAGCAGCAGAGCCGCCGCGAGGCTGTCGCCAAGCGCAGTTTGCAAGAGATCCAACAGGAGCAAGAATTTCAAGAGTGGTGGGACCAGGAAAGCCGCCGTGCTCAAGAGGAAGAAGCGAGGAGAGTTGCTCGCGAAGGGAACAAGGACAAAAAGAAGGATGGTGGACGACGTGGGCGGGGTAGTAATAATAAGTCTAAGGACAGCTCTCGTTCCGGAACCGCCGGAGCAGGGAGCAAGAAAGGTCCGGCCGCCACGCCCGAGGCTGGCCCTTCCAGCTCACAGGGCAAAAGGAAGGTCTCTAACGGAAAGGCTTAGAATATAGATCTCATGCATTTATATGGGCTAGAGACGTCTCTCGGGAGACACATATCCATTATCGGAGTTCCGGGGCTATATTGAGCTTGACTTTAAGGCTGGAGGATTCAGCGCGATGGGATGTATATACAATCAGGAGAACAATGCGTGTGTTGGGGCTACGTGTACATACATATCTTCACTCCAAAGCTCCCTACTTAATGCATGCGATTTGTTCTACTCTACCAGTTGAGTCTAACAGGCAGATATTACCTTTCATAGCCCACTTCTCCATAATTACGGTGCCGTCGTAGGGACAATGCCACCTAAGCCACGAGCCGAGATTAGGGTACAGACACATCGAGGAAAAGGATGAAATGGAGTGTTCCGTTAAGTCTCGGAGGCTATTCGGGTCAGCTTAGGTAATTGCATATATCTTAATAAGCAGTTCAGAAGATGACTAATAAGTGGGGTAAATGGATGAGTCATTCAGTTATCCAGTACGGAAGGAGAGTTGTATGAATAGGAATACAGAATACGGTCTTCCTGACCGCGGGGATAACCCGCTGTATATAGACCTAGCCGCTGCCCTGTAGGGTGCCCTGAAGGGTTCCCTATCGAACCTACTGTAAGGTTCGAACCTATGACTCGTACCCAGATGACTAATACCCTGCAGGTGAATTACCTAATTAGGTATTAGGTAAACAACCTGACTAACATCCCCCCTTAATTTTATAAGTTAAATACAGCTTATAGAATTAGTAATCCAGTTTTAGGAAAAATAGATAAAACCTATTAAATTAATAAATAAAGGAAAAAAGTAAAACCTTTATAAGAATCTTAAAGGAAAAGTGAAAAAACCCTTTATATATATATATATAAGGTAATAAATACCTTAAGGTGGGGAAAAAAGTATAATAGTCAATATATAAAAACCTCGTTTATTAATTATTATTAATTATTTAAATTTATAACGTGCAATTATAATAAATATAAGTGAATATATTTAATAAAAAAACTATACATTATATAGAAAAAAGTTATTTTATTTAAAAAAACCATATAATGGATAAAAAATTACGTTAAAAGTAAACTTTTATATATAAGGAAAAAGCTTTTATATATATATACCCGCTAATGCTTTAAAAGTATTAAACCTTGGTTTAGCTGATATTTTGACTAGAAAATTAGCTAAATTGTCTTTAGAGGGGGTATATATTAATTAAACTTGTTTATTATTTACCGTATCTTTTAAAAAGTGGTAAATAATAAAAATATACTTAGATTTTTTATAAAATTCTTAATTTTTAGTTAATTTAATATATTTAAAGTTTTTATTTTGTAAAAAGGAAATATATTTACTATTAAAGGTTTTTTAAATCTTTTTTAATATTATTATAGTTACCTTTAAAACTGCTTTAATAAATTTAATAAATATTAATTTATTTAGGAATACTCTTTTCTTTTATTATTTCTATTTAAGGTTTAATTTAATCTTTTTAATAAATTATTAAATAATCCTTTTATTTTAAAATTGCTTTATCTTTAAGCTCTTTAATTAGATATTTTTTTAAAAGCATATAGCCAGTCGCTTTAAAATAATATATTTCTTTTTTAAAGCAGCATTCTTCCGGTTAATATCCTATTAAACTATAGGGTCGACTTATTAATCGTTAAAAAGCTTTTATACAATTTTAATTATAGGTAAAAATAAAGTAAAGAGGAATAAATCTTTTAACTAATATAATATTTAATAGGTATAGTTTAAAATAATCTTATTTTTAATTAGCTACTTTAAATTAATTATAATATTATATTTAATATTAATAACCTAAAAGGTTTAATCTTTAAACCTTTATCTATTTACTTTTAAAGTAATAATAAGGTATTAATTAACTATATTAATAAATTATCCTTAATAATTATTTAATTATTAGGGTTATTTTAAAGTAGTTAACCTAGCTTTTAATTAATAGCTAACGTAATAAGTTAATTTATAATTAATTATTAAATATATTTAAACTTTAATATTATATAATATAATAGTTTTTATTTTAAAATTATTTATTTATATTTAAATAGGATATATAAATTAAATAATATTTTAATTACTTTTTATATAGGTTAAGGATAATTTATAAATTATTAAAAAGTTTTCTAGCAATTTAATTAGTTTTCCAATTTAGATTTAATAAAAAAGGAATTAATAAGCTTTTCTTTACTTTCTTTATTTTATATTTAAACTATATTCTTACTTTTTTTAAGGTAATCTATAATTTAATATTTTATTTTACTATAATTAAAGTAAATATCGTTTTCCTAATAAGTCTTTTTCTTTTCCTTTAAAAGCTTTATCCTTTTAAGCTTTATTATAATATTCCCCTTATTTATATTCTTTTTATTATTAAAGTTATAATTAATAGAACTAATAGCTTATTTTTTCTTTTAGCAATTATAATAATAATTATAATTATATATTACCTTTATTACCTTATTGTAAAAGTATTTATATAGCATTAAGAGGTTAATATTAACTTCAAATACTTTAATTCCAAAGTTAAGGTTAATATATTTCTATAAAAATTAAAACCATTTAGATTTAAGCAACTTTAACTTCAATATTAGGTTATTAAATTAAAAAATAAATTAATAAATATTAAAACCTAACTTAAAGTAAAACTTATTTAAGGTATTTTATATTTAAATAGTTTAGTTTAAATTATAATAGGCTATTTTTAACATTTATACCATTTTAACTAAACTATTATACAATTAAGTAATAAAATAAAAATAAATTTTAACTGCTTTTTTAATATCTTCCTTTAAAAGGGATATAATATAATATATTTAGCTTTTTTTAATATAATATATTATTATATTTTTTTTAAATTTATTAATTAGCTTTCCTAATTAATTATTAAATAAGTCTTTATTTTTAAAAAAGGTGCTTAGATTAGCTTTATAAGTTTTAACCTTTTTTATATATTTTAGGTTTAAGCTTATAAGGTTACCCATTAAGCTAATTATTTTAAAAACAACTTATATCGCTATACTAATTAATTTAAAGTTAATTTTGCTAAAGGTACTTTTAATTATGCTTTTTTATAATATTAAGGTTAGGCTACCTCTTTTTATTTAAGCTTAAAAAGCAGTAATTTGTTTTTATAGCTATTAGATTAAGGCAGCTTAATCGGTAATACTTATTTTATCTACTAATTAAGGTAATTCTATTAATCCTTCATTTAAATTAAGGTCTAATAGTAAAAGCATTATATTTTTTAATTTAAGGTTTAAAAAGTTGTAAAAGCTATTTTTAAACTTAATATTAATCTCTTCTTCCTTAATAAAAGGGATAGAGTTTTAAATTAATTATTTATTAGCTAACGCATCTCCTACTTGACCTGGCCACCCAATTGACCTGGCCACCCCAATAACCTATATAAAATCCCATTACTTTAATCTTTAATAACTTTGCGAGTACTAATTGTACGGTTTAATAATTAGTACCGTTAAATCCGTTAGTTCAAGGGGAATCCAAAGATATTTTTTACTATTTTTTACAAAATTTATTAAGCGAGATATTAAGCAATACGCTAAAGTGGCGCTAAGCAAGGATTATTTTAACGCTTACTTTAGCGTATTGCTTAATAACTCCGCGAATATAAGTCGTAAGAGTTAGTAAAGGGTACCGTTAAATAGCTCTTTTTATTACAAATCTAATGGTATATTTTATTATTTTATACGACTAATATTCGTAAAGTTATTAAATTATCACGTGATTAGCGCACCGACGTTTCTTGTATGGGCTGGGGGGGTGGCCAGCTCAATTGGGTGGCCAGGTCAAGTGGGAGATGCGTTATAGGAATATTAAATATAATATATAATAATAATTATTAAAATTGTTTCGGATTATTTATTTTAATTAAGGTCTTTTTAATTTTAAAGGATATAAGGTTTAATTTTATTAATTAGGTTTATTATAAGGTTATATTTATTTATTATTAAATATAAAACATAATAATAAGGGGGGAAAGGTTTAATTTATAAATTATAAATAATAACAATTAAATATAAATAATATATTTATATAGCATTTATTAATAAAAAGAAGGAGCTTAAAATAATATTATAATTAAAAGTTTAAGGTATAACTATATTAATACTATAGATAAAAATTCTAAGTTAAAGAAGAAAGAAAGGAAAAATAAAATTAAAATATAAGCATACGTAGAAATATATATATATTAATAGCTATTATAGGTTATATAACTTTATTAGTATAAGTCTTATATATCTTTATAATATCCTTTTATAATATATATAATATTCCAACATAATATATGTTTAATACGTTTGTTATAAATTTTAATATAGTAGAATGCATTTTTAATATTATATTATATGTGACGATCGTCACGTACGGTCAGACGAGACTTAACCTGACCTGTCAATATAAGCTAAGGTAGTGAGCCAGACTGACGGCTTATTATCCTGTATCCTTTTGACCCAAGGACCGTGGCGCAGTTGGTTAGCTTACAGCTGCGTACGTTACATTATATAACTATTATAATAGGGCTAGGAATAAGGACATGAACATTATGGAAAAAAAAGTATAGCGGATGCTTTATTTTGATTTCTCTTATTGCTTTTATATATATAAGATATAGGTTACCTTAATATAAGTTAAATAAATAAAACCTAACAAATAGCTTATAATATACCTTAAAGAATATATATTGCTTTACCTTTTATATTTATTAATTAAATCTTTTTATATATTATTTTATAATTTTTAATAAAAGGGTATAGGTTTATTAGTTTATTATTATTACTTATTAGTTATCCCTTTAGCTCCCTTTATATTAGTATCTTTAATAAGGCTAATAAAACTAAAATGTTTAATACTCCTTAAAGTATAACCTATAATTAGAAGATTAATACTTTAACTAATAAAGCTTATAAAGATAAAATATTAAATATTTACTTTTAAAAAGTTTATTACCTTCTTTTTTATTTTTTAAATTTTACTATTCGGATATAATGCCTTATTAATCATTTTAATTCTTACTATATAAAATTACTTAAAATATAAAAACTAAAGCAATAATATAAAGAATTAAGTTAATATATGCCTATTAAAATAGCCTATAAATTAAAAATAACTTAAAAAGAAATTATTAATTAAACTATTAATAAACATTAATTTAAAAATAATAAATTATAACTTATATTTCCTTTCCTTATTTTACTAAGTTCTTTTAATTAATTTAACTGTTTATAAGATATTATATAAGCCTTTATAAATAAAGCTAAGCAAACTTTTACCTTACTATATAAATAAATAAAAGAATAAGGAGCGAATAGTAAAAAATAAAATAGTTAAACTCTTATATTTAATTTTAAAAGTTTTTATTACTTC